GAATCCTGTGGATCGTATGGTGCCTGAGAGGCATTGGAGTGTTTTGATTCTTAGATAGGGATTGCAGTTTAACCGTACTTAAGATTAAAGGTACAGGTAGCATACTTTAGCTTTAAGTTTAAAGTTAAACAATGTGCCTTTTACATTTAAGTTGAAGTTAAGCAGGTGTAGCTTAAATTTAGTCTGAAAAGAAACTAAAATTGAGCGTACTTTAAACGTTAACTTTAAATATGTTACAGTTAAAGTGAATTTTTCACAAATATATTTTTTTGTAAAAAAAAGCCTTCTTTTATAAATAGCAAATGTTTTCGGAAAAACGTGGTTTTTCTTCTAAAAATTGTTTGCCTTCTATAAAAGAAAGTAGTTTTTTAATAAGAGGAACAGTTCTTTTTGCAAAAAAAACCTTGTCAGAAAATTGCCGTTTAAACTTTAACTTTTTAAAGTCAAAGTTATAAGCATGCTAACTTTAAGTTCAACTTTTTTTAAAGTTTAAAGTTAAGGTGTCACGCCTAGTTCTAGATAGTATTGTCTATTGAGGTTTTTCGCTTCTCTGTTTAGCGGAATATCTTTCCTGCGTCTTATTGAAGTTTTGTTGTTGTCTGTCGTATTCTTCCCAAAGCTCTTGAAAGTGGAGTGTGATGAATGGTGATTCGTGAAACATTCAAAGCGTTGGTGTCAATATATTTTGGATTAGAAGGTACACATGCTTCTCGATTGTAGTAGTGCTCGGTTGTTTGATCATTAGTAAAATTGCAAATGATATTGGTGGTAGGATCAAATGCCTTTTTTCTGAGTTATCTAAGTGATATATTATGTATACACCTAATAATGAGAGCGAAAATTTTTGTGCATTGATGACATCTATCGAATACTGTTACTTTAGTTGTTACTCTCTGCGGATGTTTGGCTAATGAAATACTCAACCGAAATCATCTACTTCAACTAAGTGTAGTAAGTAAAATGAAAATGAAAACATAAGATCCGAGAGAAGGGCTGTTTGTGGGTGTGGATGGGTGTGGGTGTGCGTGTGTACCCCGACTTCACCCACACCCACACCGACACCCATCCGCACCCACACGCACACGCACACCCACACCAACACCCTTCTTAGGATTCTAAAGGTTCCAAGAGATCCAAGAGTTTATAGGGTTCCAAGAGTTCCTAAGAGTTCAAAGGATTCCAAGTGGTCCAAGACCTCTAAGAGATCCTAGGGTTCCTAGGGCTCTAAGAGATCCAAGGGTTCCTAGGGTTCTAAGAGATCCTAGGGTTCCTAGGGCTCTAAGAGATCCTAGGGCTCCTAGGGCTCTAAGAGATCCTAGGGCTCCTAGAGCTCTAAGAGTTCCTAGAGTTCCAAGAGTTTCTAGGGTTCTAAAAGTGCCAAGAGCTCTAAGGGTTCGAAGAGTTCCTAGGGCTCCTGGGGTTCGAAGAGTTCTAAGGGTTCCAAGAGGTCCAAGACTTCTAAGAGTTCCTAGGGTTGTAAAAGTGCCACGAGTTCTAATGGTTCTAAGAGTTCCCAGGGTTCTAAGAGTTCTGAGAGTTTTAAGGATTCCAAGAGTTCTAGGAGTTCTAAGGGTTCGAAGAGTTCTAGGAGTTCTAAGGAGTCCAAAATTTCTAGCAGTTCGAACAGCTGTACCAAGTCGGAAGTCTCTATTAGAAGGCGATTTAAAGAGTTCAGGGTTCTTGAAGAGTTCTGAACGCCTAGAATCGGACACATCTCCATTGTCATGGGTAATTACTTATTGATAAGTAGCAGCAAGGAAAAAGAAGTACTAGGGGAATGAAAAGACAAATAAGCAATGAATTACATTTGTGCTCCTGCTTTCTTTGATATTAGTTCATTTCAATAAAAGGCATATGCTTCAAAAGAAAAGCTTTTTCTCAATCTATTAATTAGTATAATCGATGGACACGTAAGAAAATACGGAGATGATAAATTTTTTTAAACACAGTCTGAAAAGAATATTGAAGTATATAAGCGTAGAAATTCAAGCCGCCCCCTTCCCCACAGATTGTAACAGAAATGACCAAGACATCAAAGTTCACTGGAAAAACAGTATGATAGTTGTCGTTCATATTTCTTTCACACTCACTACAATATTTTACGATTTATATCTTTCATCATCGACACATTGTGCTATTGCACTTTATCTTGACATGGGAAAAAACTTATCCTTCTTTCATCGAATAATTAATAACAATGTAAAACGAAAACTCTCATAATTTTGTTTGTTTAAAGTAGCTTTGATAGTTATTATATCATTGACTGAATTTTAATACTATGATTTTGAATATTTTAGTAACAGAATGATTCAATACTTGTTATTGTTGGATCACACTAAGCTATCTATTGTTCCAAAGTACTAAATGCTTGTCATCTTTCAAAAGTATCTGCTCATATAAAAGATATTTTAGAACTCAAATAGTTGCTACAATTGAGCTTATTTGTTGTGGATAAATAAACTGGTGAGCAAGTATCAGTTCGATATCAAAATTTAGTTATTAGAAATGTCACTTACTATTGTGATGATCGCTGAATCGTGTTTTCTACATTCAAGATAAGATAAAAAATAAATATCAGTGAATGAAGAGAGCCAATGTCACTTATATTTTTGACAAAAATAAGTTAACGGAATCTAAGAATGTTGGTAAAAATATAAGAATGAAAAACCTTAGAAAAGTAGAAAAAGTAAAAACAAAAAAAAAGAAAGAAAGTATAGCAAGAAATTTTTTCTTGTACACTTCGATGAACTCTATGCAACACTGACAAAAAGAGAAAAATAAATCTAGCTAGTAATTTTAGTTGTTAGAACATTATATACACAGCAAATATATTAAAACTAAAATATCCCAATTAGTAGACTTCTTAAGCAACTCCTATTTTAACGCACAAAAGCCGAATGTCCGTATCAAAGGACCTTACGAGAATTGATTTAACAATTTATCGTATTGAGAAGTCAGTTTAAATCTGTTTCTTTTTTCAATGAATAGCCTAATAGACCATTTCTATTTGTTTTTAGATGTAGAGTTCAGTTACATTTTAAAAATCAACCATCATAATATCCTTTGGCAGAAATATAAGCTTTTTAAGGATTCAATTTCTTTGTCATACTTTAAAGCAACTCTCTTCCTTGAATAATGATAAAATTTTTTATTTAGTTATTTATTTGGACATTTTTGATGTTTCGGTATCACAAGGGGTACTTCGTCAGAAAATAAAAATGATTAAAGTTTACTTAAAATAATAAAATATGTTTTTTTTTTTCTTCGCTCTCTTTCGTTCTTCAGTTTGAATAACATATAATAGTGGTACGGAGAAGACGGTAATACTGGCAAGAAAAGTTTTGCTTTCATCTTTGTCCGTGCCACTATTACCATCTTGTACTATTCCATTGGTGATTGTTCTTTAATCATATTGTCCCTTAAATTTAATATGTTTTCTGATTGCATCACCATGTATGTTCAAAATTGGCAACCATGCTTCATTAGGTTTAACATGCCTGTTGATCGTGTTGAAGACATTTGAATATAAAATTTCTTTAATTAGACGTTTTCTTTCCTCAGTTTCATAATCAAGGATCATAGCTTTGTTAGAATTAAATTTACATGCTCCATTTTGTTGCCTGTAATGTTGAACCATTTCTGACTTAGATTGATCATCATTTTCCTTTATATAAAGGGTGTCCCATAATAACTGAGGATAAATTGTTAATGATATTTTTCATACTTTTTCTTGACATAGAGGGCTGAAATTTTTATCACATATATATCTAATGAAGATCTTTTATTTCTGAAAGCTTTAGCTCTCTAACTATAACTAGTGGTGAGATACATCTACAAGACTGAAATATGTAAATTTTCGAAATTGTTTTTTCAATATTTTTTATTGTGAAAATATTGCAGGATACTTCCATGAGTAGTCAACCAAAAAATCACAAAGTATTCAGAAAATTTTCTTTCCTATTGGACTTTGTAGCACTTTTTCTGCTGATCATTTTAGTAAACAAACTTTTCGAATTTCATTGAGAAATGACGATGTTATAGACAAAACACTAAACACTGTAAAATAGGTCGAAATGTACGGAAAAGTCGATTCACATATCTCAAAATGGTTATATTCTGGAGAAATGAGACGTAGTGAGTTTTGTAGATGAAAGTTTGCTCTACAAAACCCTATAGTCAGTTTCTCAGATTCAGGCCAATAGAATGAATAATTATCGATTGAATATTGTATACGATATTTTTATCAAAAAAATCTGACATCTACTGTTTTTTGTGATAAATATTTTGACTATAACATCATCATTTCTTAATGAAATTCGAAAAGTTTTTTTACCAAAATGATCAGCGGAAAAAGCTCTACAAAGTCTGATACGAAAAATAATTTTCTGAATATTTGGTGATTTTTTGGTTGACTACCCATGGAACTACCCTGCTATATCAATTTCGAAAAATTATCTATTTCAATCTTGCCGATGTATTTCACCATTAGTTACAGCTAAACAGCTGAAACTTACAGAAATAAAAGATCTTTGTCAGATATATATGTGATAAAAATTTCAGCCCTCTACGCCAAGAAAAAGTACGAAAAATATCATTAACAATTTATCCTCAGTTATTATAGGACACCCTTTATCTAATATGTTCTTGCATATGTTCATTAAGTCCTATCTTTGTTTCTCCAATGTATTCCACACCATATTCACACGGAATTTTGTAAATACTTGATTTTGATTTTCTATTGATGTTAGAAGAAATAAGAGATGATGATTTGCGTGGATATGAAAAGTAAAGTTTTATTTTCAATTGTTCAAGTTTTCTCGTAAGTACTTCAATACCAGAAGTGTAAGGTAATGTCAGGCTGAACACACATTCATCTTTCTTCTTATGATCATCAATACATTGTGAGTTGTTGTTGTTATGTTTTCTAATTGTTTCTTGCTTTTGTTTCTCTATTTCATGTTTAGGATATTCAGATTTTTTAAACATACATTTAAGTTTCTTCAAATCATCCATTTGCCGATAATAATATCTTTAGTTGTTGTAATGATTCTTTCAGTCATATTACTAATTAAATTTCTCTTGATTGATCGTTGATGACATGACTGATAATTTACAAATCTATCACTAGCGGTATCTTCCCGTTCCCATTGAATGTCAATCTTGTTTGTTGTTGTATTTTTTGTTAGTGTTCTATCAAGGTAATTCAATTGATTATTCTTTTCATATTCATGTGTGAATTTAATCTTATGTTTAGTATAATTAATTTTCTTCATATATTCTTCAACTTTAGGTTCTGACATTTTGGTTACTACTAACATATCATCAACACAACGCCAGTTTTTATCTTGTATTTCTTTTAGTTGCTGTTGAAGATGATCATGTAAATAGATATCTGCTATTAGACCAGATAGAATATTACCCATCGGTAATCCATTCTTTTGGTGGTAGAATCTACCATTAAAAGTGAAATAGCCGTTCTTAAGACATAATTTCGATAATTCACGTAAATCTGATTTTGTCAAATTTGTCTGACAAAATTTCTCAGACGAGCCAATTCGTTGTAAAACAATTGCTATTGCCTGGGAAACAGGGACATTAGTAAACATGTCCACCACACCAATACTTACCAATCTATGATCATGATCAAGTGTAATTTGTGATAGTTGTTCAATTAGATGTTTAGTATTTTTAAGACAATTTTCTACAGTTTCTCTTAGTTGTTCAATAAATGAATAAACATATTTAGAGACACCAGAGAGAATTGTAGATCTTGTGCATGTAAGTATTCTTAATGGATAATCTTTCTTGCGCATTTTTGGTTGAGCTCTCACATATGGCAAATCATCCATAGACGTCCAAATTCTCTTTTGATAATCATCAATTTTGTGTTTACTAAAGAATATTAATGTAATTTCATTAATTTTCTTCTTTAATGGGTGTGTGGATGTGGATGTGGTTCTTCTCTTTGCGTACACCCACAGACCCACACCCCACATCCACACCCACCCACACCCACATCTTACACCCTCGATAATGTAAATAGAATGTTCAAAAAAACAATTATTTTCGAAAACATCTGTCAATTCTTTCATTTAATTATTATTGAATAATTCGTCGAATATATCATAAAACTCATTCGATCTCACTTTGAACTTCAAAAAGGGATTGCTTTTTTGTTTAAAAAAAAACAAAATCAAAATTCATTGTCTCGAGTAGAGACTACGGGAACCAGAATTTTTCAATCACGATAATGATCTTGACAATTGTAATTGTGAGTCGAGAAAATTTGATTCATCGTCTTAATACGCGATCTGTTACAAAGCTCTTAGTTCAACTTCTATTATTAAAACTTATTTACTTGACGAGCAAAATAAATATGAAAGTCCCAAAAATATCAACTGAATCCATTCTTCTGGATAGTAAACCATTGATGATTCTGAACAGGCTAAACTTTTACATCTTTTCTGAGGTGTTGTTAATGTTAATCGTATACTTTACTCAATCATCCACTGTGTGTACATTTGATTTAATTATAGTAAGATTTTCTAAAGAAATGTATGAGTAGCTTCTAACTAAAAAAGTCAAAAGGATACCCTAATGATAATTTGTCCAGTGGACTCATTAGGCGTTGAAAGAAGACTTAATCTGAAGTTACATATTCATAATAAGTTAAACAAACAAAATCCAGATTACAGCAGTTACATCAGTTTCGACTCTCAAATAATTTCTATCATGGATATTAAAAAAAGAGAATTTAGTAGACTTGTTTGAATATGCTTTGAAGTAGTTATGGTATGTATTCACCGTCAATTAGCGCAATCTATCTTTGCTGCTTATTCGTTCTCATACATGAGTCACAAATGATAAGAGATAGGACTTTCGATTTCTTCGTAGGTCATTTTATATCTGTTAGCATTTTTTTTTCTTTACTTTTTTTTTGGTCACTTATTTCTCTATTCTAGTAAATTAAAAATCAATAATTCTTGTTGGTTAATATTTTTGTTTTCAATCGACAATTCAAAACTTAATGCAAGAATCTGAAGATTACGAAAGATACTATTTAATATGTAATTCAAGTTATTGAAAAAAGAGATGTAAAATCATAGTATGCTGTACAATAACCATAAACACTATTGTCTTTTTTATTCTCATATCTATGTTCTTAATTTTACACATTAATTATTTTTGAAATTCTCGTACTTGAAAGTCATGAAATATTTATTTACTTTTTTTTGTTTTTTTTTTAGATTGAGACTATGTCACGACACGTTGATGATATAAAAAATATGCTTTTTGATGAACCTAATTTTGATAGTGATGATGATAATGACAATGAAATTAAAAATAAAACAGTTCGACGAAAACAAAGAAAAAAATTACAAAAACAATTAGAAAAAAAAAAGAAACCAACAGTTGAAACAATTGTTTTTCGAGATCCTACCAAGAAAAAAAAAACATTAAATGTAAGTCAAAAATTTCAATTTTGTTTTTTTTTCGATAAATTAATGTTTATACCATAGAAATCTGATACATTATCTTCAATCTCTCAACAAAAGGAAAATGTTGAATTCGATCTTGAAAAAGCTCGTTTTGATGTACATAAATTTGGTATTAAAGGTTTTGAAAAAAGTAAATATGAAGATGCTCGTGTTGCATTAGCTGTTAGTTTAGGAGCCAAGGTAATTTATCGTTTTTTTTTAATAATTGAATTAAATCTATTGAATTTTCTTTTATTTAAAGCCACCAAAACGAAAATTTATAAATTATCGTGAATTAATTGAACAAAATCGAGCAAAAAAAGTCCAAGAAAAAGAAGAAGAAGAAAATGTAAATAAATTTTTCAATTTTTGTTTTCTTTAACAAATTATTATGTTTAATTTAGGCTCGTTTACTTGGTGATATATTTCATAAAAGTCCAAATAATAAACAAAAATCATATCAACAATCAAAACAAAAACGTATTGGTGAAGGAGATGTTGGTTCAATGCGTTTTTCATCTGTTGGAAAATTTCAAGGAGGTGTTTTAAAATTATCTGACCGAGATATTTCAAAAGTTAAAAATAAATCAGGATCTTCTCATAATAGAAAACGATTAGGAAGAAAACGATAATATATTATATCTCATGTTATTATTTGTTTTAGATATAAAAAAAAAAAGATCTTTTTTTTACAATGATCATTTGTGGTACGTTAATAAAGCAGGTAAATAACTCTTGAAAGAATCATTGTTTCATTGATTACTAATTACATATGAATACTTACTCAACGTTTATATGAAATTTCGTTTGACGGCAAGGTATTATCGAAAAAATCAAAGCAAAGAGTTTCATTAAAAATGATTCAGAATTATCTAAAGACTGTTAAAAGTGTCTATTGACAAAATTTTAGGTAGAATGTGAATCATTTATTGTTGTTTTTTTCTAGTTATTAAAACAACAGTCATATCGTCTATATTCAAGTCAAGTTATTTCATCAGCTCTTAAGTCAAATCCGTCAAATATAATCTATAGTTCTCAAAAAATAGCTGATCTTATACAAAAACAATCTGATTGTTTACAAATATTTGATGATTATTTAACTGATAATGAAAATAATAATTTTTTAAAAGAAATCGATGGATATATGAAACGTAAACGTTATGAATATTCACATTGGGATAACGTATGTAGGTTTTAGAAGATGTGTATTTTGTTTTACTAAGAGAAAATAATTATTTTCATAGGCTATTCATGGTTATCGTGAATCTGAAAGATCTGAATGGACACTTGAAAATCAACAAGTTTTATCTCGTATTCGTCAACTTGCATTTGATGATCCAACACAAACACTTATACATGTTCATGTACTTGATATAGCTAAAGATGGATATATTAAACCACATATTGATGCTATTCGAGTATATTAATCTTTTATTTACCATATATCTATTAGCTATGAATCGTTTCTAGTATTGTGGAACAACAATTGCTGGTCTATCATTACTTTCATCATGTGTAATGAGATTTGTTCATAAAGATGATAAAACACTATTCATTGATGTTTTACTCAAACCAAAATCACTTTATATTATAAAGTAATTAACATTTAAAGCATAGAATCACTGATATTTGATATTTTGAAAACTGTCCATGTCACAAGTTTAGTTCTCCAAATATCAGTCTATCTGCTACATTATATCGAACAGTCTAGTAGAGTTCTACGAGATAAATTTTTCTGTATTCCAAATTCCAGATGGTATGTGCAATCGGTAGTTTAGATTTACATTATGATTTCCTCTACGGAACTGTACCGATTTAGAAATAACAGATGTTGTATAGAATCGCGTTTTGACATTTTTTAGAGTCGTGCAGATAGTTGCTTTGTCGACGCGAGCTTTGTTCATCTGACAGTCTAATTTGTTGTCTTAAAAATTTAAGAATCTCGTTTTTGAATAAAATGCGGAAATAAAAAGATTATAATTTGATTTATAACTAAATCTTATTTCTCTATTTTAGAAACATTATTCGATTTGATTTTACACATGAAGTTCTCAAAGATCAAGAATCTTATTTTAATAATATCCATATACCACGAAATCGTCGTCTATCCATTATTTGTAGAAATATGCCAGTTGATCCATCTGCTGGCTAATTTTATTATTTTTCTTTGTTTCTTGAACAACAGTTTTTAATACGTCTTTTTTTTTTTATACATTTCAGATATGAATCCTGATACAGCTCGTCAATTATTTGAATCTGGTGGTATACTTCTTGTACTTGATGCACCAAAAGATATGGAATTTGGTATTGATATGTATTCATGGCAAATTGGTGCAAATTTTCATGGTATTAAAATGATACCACCTGGTATTCATTATTGTTATTATAGTGAACGTGATTTATTAACAAAAGAATTATCTAATCGACAAAGTTTTTTTATTGAAATAAAACAACCTAATGAAATGTTAATAGTAATGCGATGGTCATCAACAGAAAATCTTTTTCAACGTCAACAATTAACATCTAATGAATATGAAATACGTCGAAATCAACGTTATGAATTAGATCATTTACTTGGACAATATCCATTAAATACATATCGTCAATGGTTATCATTATCAAATCATTTATGTTATAATTTTATTGAAAAAATTCTTCCATTAAATGGTTATATATGTTCAGCAAATGTTTTTAATAGTTGTGAATATAAAAAAACAGATAATAAAGAAGAATATTCTATACCAAAAAATTTATCTGAAGCTGAATCTCGTTTACCTCAAATGACATTAAATTCTCAATTTGCTTTTCGTTTTACAATAATTGAAAAAAATAAAAATTTTTATTCTGGTTCTGATTTAACACAATCAAAATTAGATCGTACAAATGAATTAGAAAAAATATTTAATGAACATTTTAATTCAAATATTTATGGTATTTTATGTGAATTACAACTATGTTTTATTGTATTTTTTCTTGGACATTTCTATGATGGTTTTGAACAATGGAAATGTTTATTTCAATTAATATGTTCATGTCAAAAAGCATATTGTCGTTGGCCAATATTTTATATTGATTTTTTACAAACGATTTATTTTCAATTAAAATATTTTTCAAATGATTCTATACATGGTGAACATTTATTTGTTGATATTGATCAACAAGAAAATTCTATTTATAAATCATTAGAAAATTTATTTGCTAATATATCAATATTTAATGATCATGAACAAATGGAAAATAATGATTTAGAAAAATTAATTGAACGTTGTGGAAAAATGAAACAATTTTTATATGATACATTTCAATGGAGATTTGATGATGAACCAGATGATGAAAAACCAATTATTGTTGAACTTGATAAAGAATAAAGATTTACATTTATGTATTTTTTTTTTTCTTTTAGATAATGTTTACATTTATTATTGGATTTATTCTTGTGTGTATGTGGCCTGTTTATATGTGTGTCGATTGTGATATTTTGTTCTTTCATCTTTGCAGTAATTCTTCTTTATGCTTCAAAAAAACTCTATTGGTCAGGAACTCAATGTCCATCAAAAGATCGTATGGATAATAAAATCGTTGTTATTACTGGAAGTAATACAGGCATTGGAAAATCTACAGCTATTGAATTAGCTAAACGAGGTTATTCCATGAATTATTATTTTCTTTTTGAAATAAAATTTTTGTTTGTTTTGTTTTTCTTGTATTTAATTTAGGTGCACATATTATTTTAGCTTGTCGTAATCGACAACGAGCTGAAGAAGCAAAACAAGAAATACAAATTAAATCTAATAATAGTCAAATTGATATTGAAATTATTGATACATCTTCATTACAATCTGTACGTGAATGTGCTAATCGTTTACGAAAACGTTTATCAAGAATTGATGTTTTAATTAATAATGCTGGTTGTTGTATATATATTTTTCGTTTTCTTTAATCATTAAATATTTAGGTGTTCTTACACGATCGAAAGAAAAATCGATCGATGGTTATGAAATACATTTTGCTACTAATTATCTTGGCCATTTTCTTCTAACTAATCTTCTACTCGATCTATTAAAAAAAGCACCATCAGCTCGAATTATAAATGTTGCAGCTTTGGCACATACATGTAAATATTATTATTTTATCTCATAGATTTCGATAATAAATTTAAATAATTTTTCAAGTTTTGAATTGTCAGATACATTGGGATGATATTAATTTAGAAAAAAAAACTTATTTAACATTTTATGCATATGCACATAGTAAACTTGCTAATATTATGTTTACAAATGAATTAGCTAAACGATTAAAAGGTAATAAATGATTTTAGTAATAAAAAAAAAAAAACGAAATCAATGTTTAATATTATTGTTTTTATAGGAACAAATATTACAACTAATAGTCTTCATCCAGGTGAGCATTTATTTTCTATATGTAGGCTAATACATTTGTTATACACATTGTCTTAGACTTCAGAAAGAGTAGAAAAATATATATATAGAAACAAAAAAATCAACTATATTATTCTAGCAAGTAAAATCATCTTATGAATAAATTTTTAATTTAAGGTGTCGTACATACAGAACTTATTCGTTATCTTGGTGGTCGTTATGAAAATATATTAAGAATACTTGCTCCATTTATAAAAGCTATTCTATGGTTTTTTCTCAAAAATCCTGAAGAAGGTGCACAAACAACAATTTATTTAGCAAGTGATATTCATCTTAATAATGTTACTGGAAAATATTTCAGGTTGTTATTTTTTTTTTTTCGTATTCGTTTTTTAAACTATATTTCATTTTCATATAGTGATTGTATTGAAGTTCAACCATCAAAAACAGCACTTAATGAAGAAGATAATCGACATTTATGGTTACTTAGTGAACAAATGACAAAACTTAATGATTCTTTAAAAAATGACTAGATGAACAAAAAAAAAAATTATTTTATTTTCTTTTTTAGATAAATTTCATGATGATTTTTCTTTCTATTATATTATGTCTTTCTGTATTTCCAAATATAATCTATACAACAGTACCATTTATTCTAAATCCTGATTGTGATCTACCTGAATGTGAAAATCCTAATTATCCAGCATTATATTATGCAAATCATATTATTGATAATAATAATAAAATTCATATTATTTATTCAACATTAGATCAATTAACAATTAGTATATTTCAAACAGGTAAAAATTATGATCCAACATTTAATTATACAGCATTATTTTCACGAAATTATCCTGGTGCTATTCAATTTATTGATACTAAGCCAACGAATTCATTTTCATTAGTTCTACGACGTTTAATGGAATTTGATGATGAACCTGATAAAGCTAATATAACTAAATGTGAAAATACAACAATATCTTATTATTTACATAATATAACAACAAATAATGTAACCATGTTAAACAATAATACAAATCAACCAACATTTCAATTACCATTAGACATGGTTAAAAATTTTTAGTTTAATATAAACTAAAAACAAATAAATTTATTTTTGTTTTTTTGTTTTTAGTTGAACGGTTCATTAAATATTGATGTAATTTATCCTGGTGAAGCAATGCGTGACAAAAAATCACCAAAATTAAAAACAACATCAAAAAGTTATTTTCTTAATATTGCTTTACAAGCAAATAATTTTTCAGCACCACATACACGTTTTGCATTTGAATTCTATTTAATGTTACCTGGTACTCATGGTTTACGAACATCTTCATCAAGATTTATTGATGATCATTTTACACCAGGTAGAAATTAAATAAAAAAGAAAAAAATGTACTAATCTCTAAGCTCTTATTCTTTGACGTTAAGCTCTCCCCCCTCAAAAACCGATCTCAGCCCAGGCGCGTTCAAATGAGCTGAAATTTGGACCATATGTTGGGGCTGAAGTGTGGAGGCTGTGGTAAAATTTTCAGCTCGATATCCTGACGTTTGACAGAGATATGAACCAAACAAGGGTCGAAAAATAGCTCATTTTCTGTCCAAGATTTCTCGGTTCAAGCTCTATGAATATATTTAAATTTTTTTTTGTTTGAAAGAGCGCGTCGAGATGCAGGGCACCAGAGTCCTTTTTTTTTAATTTTTACTTTTTTAACGGAAAATAGGGATCACAAGTTCAATGACTCAAAAAACGCACCAAAAATGGTTGTCTCTGTCTGTATATATAGTAAAAAACAAAACTTAATCAAAAAAAGGACTCTGTGGCGTCCTGCATCTTGACACGCTCTTTCAAACAAAAAAAAAATTTAAATATATTGAAAGAGCCTGGACCGAGAAATCTTGGACAAAAGATCAAAAAGTCACAAGCCGAGAAAAAATGAAAAACATTTTGTGATTTTTCCTAAAAGCCGCTGGTTTTTCGAATAGGGGGTCTTGAAAAATTTGAAAAATTTTTGGAAAAAATAAGGTATCGAGGAAAAATTTTTATCGCTTATGAAAGAGTAGATAACAGGCTATCTCCCCATGCATTTATCTCAATTTCGACGAAAATTGACTTTTTTTGAGGGGGGGGGGCGTCCTAAAATAAAAACTTTTTTTTGTAATTCTATAAAAAAAAAATATACATTAATTTGTCAATATTATATTTCTAATGAAAATTGTTTTTTTTTCTAGGTATTTTTACTGTATTTCAAACGAGAACACTTGATTCATTATATCCATCATCAATGTTATGGAAACCAGTTGTATATCAAAGTGAAGATCGAACAGTTGAACAAAATACATTAATGCAAGTATATAATTTAAAAAATAATGTTACACTCGATTCAAATATTGATCAAGGTATATTTTATTCAATTTTAAATCATCCAACTGTATCAGCATTTAATATTTCACTTGGTGATCCAAATGATGGTATGAATATTTTTTTTTTTTATAAATAAAATTTATATGATTATATTTAATAAATATAATAGGTTTTTTTGCTAAAACAAATTATACATTTATTCAATTTACAGCTGGTCTTGAATATCTTGAAGCTGATTCAACAAAATTATTTGTTACAGTTGCATTAATTGCTAGTCTTGCTTTACCGGGTATAGTTGCAATTATTGCATTAATATTTATTTTAAAACGACGATTTACAAAAAGATCATCAAGTGCTTATGATACTATTGATGATTAAATAAAAATCAACAATAAATATGAATGAATTTTGTTGTTTTATTTTTTATTTTTTTCTTCTTTTTATCATTTATTATTGTGCAATGATGGTAACACACCACTGTGATTATATTGAGCGAGATTTTCATTATTTTTAATATTAAATAAAAATTTGTCATTAATTAGTTTGATTTATAAACAAAAAAAAATTTGTGATGAATATATTTTTAATTTTTATACAGAAGATTAACTAAAAATAAATATATATATATGCAATTCTAGAATTAATTATTATCATATGACAAGTATTTTGTAAATATTAATTTCATATCTATATATAATAAGAATATATAAAGTAGAATGAAGATTAAGAAAATGAAGTCTAAAGTAAGATAATAAAATACGAATATGAAAATGTCAGTTTTACTAATGACAATGATCTTGACATTCGCGCTAAGGCTATAAGAAGACATTTAAATTATCGGTCAAAAACCAAGATGATCTCAGATTTTTGATAATTTTTTAATACAGCATCGACATTCTCATTTCAATATTGTGCGTTGGTGATTACATTTATAGAGTTTTGAACATCGACATTCTATATTCTTATTATAGAAGCATAAAATAACGCTTGAAAAATTTATTATATATTATAAATTATGAAAAATATTTACGCATTCTATGCATATCATTAATTTTTTATTCAATAATTTTGGATATGAGAAATAAATAATTTGATTAGAAAACAAAAATAAAATAAATTATCATAAAGTTAACATATCTATTTTAAAAATAAGATTTTCAAAACCAAATTTCATCACATATCAAAACTTATTATTGGTTCTTTTTTTTTTTTATAATTGTTTTCAAATAGTAAAATAATTATTCTATGAGAACTCTTGATTTATATATTATTATTTTTCTTTTTTAAAGAGAAAATATAATTTAAAAACAAAATTTACTTATATTTATCTGTACGAAACAGGAAATATCAATATTTAATCATGTGTCTCTATGGATATATATATATACTCATTTCCTTTCTATTTAAATTATTATTTATTTTTTTTCTTTCTTTCATAATTAGATGCCAATCTATTATGATTATTAAGCATTTTAATAAATCATTAATATAAATGCTAGTACATATGACTTGTATTTTCCTTCGAGACTATCTATCAATTAATTTTATCTATAGGGATAACTTACATGTTATTCTCATCTTTCGGATCTTTTAAGTTTTCAATTATGATTTATTTTTAATTATGAAAAAAACAAAGAAAAAAAAAAAAATATATGCACTGCATTCATTTAATATTATGAAATAAAAATATATTTAGATTTTAAGTTTATTTGCAGTAGATATTTTTTTTTTTCTATAAAAATGTTCGTTTTAATTGACGAAAAAATATTGTACTTTTACAATAAGTACGTTTTAATGTACGACGTGGATGAATAAATATACGAGTATTAATATTTATATGATGATTAGTATTATTATTATAGTTATGTGATGATGAAGATTTTTGAATAGGTGTTGATGAATTTGGTTGAATAGATTTTGTTTTAGGTGTTGAAGTTATTTCAATAAATAAATCAAATTGTTCTTGACTTTCAATTGGTAAAAGAAGACTGAACAAATATGACAAGATAATATTATCTTCTTTTTCAAAAAAAAAAAAAATCTATTACAATAACTTACGTTTTATTACTTTCAATTTCTTCTTCCATTATTCTATGTAGATACGTTATTGTATGCTATTTCGATTTTCTCTATATAAGAGTAATATATCGATTGAATAGAAATATAAAAAAAAAAAAAAAAATTCTAAAATGAATGAACACGATTGTTCTTCTTCATTTTCTTTTGCTCGTTGATTTTTTTTTCTCTCTTATACATAATCATTTGCTCTTCACTCATTCATTCACTCACTCACTTCATTGAAGCATGCCGATAATGTTTCACACTATCCTGCTGAGCCGTTTTAACGAGCTCATTTGTCGTTTATCGGCAGGAAGTCACAGATATTTTGATTTTATTCTATATGATGTATATACAAGCCGCTCTCATTAGAAAATCATACATATATATATATATATGTATACATAATTCTAGGGGATCCCGAAAGATGCGCACGGCGAAACTTGCGCACGGAGACTCTGAGGGCTCTGGCTGAGGCTGTGAAGTGCGGATGATGGTGCGGATGTAAGTGAGGGTGAGGGCGAAGATGATGGTGAAGGCAGTGAACTTGAAACGGTTCGTTCTGCTTTGAAACTCTCATTTTCCGTTCCGTGCGCAACTTTCGTCGTGCGCATCATTCGTAGACCCAATTCTAGATGTATAACAAATTGTATTAAATTATAATGATTATTTTATTATTAATTATAATTAATTAACAAATGTTGTATCACGTGTATATGTTGATAAAGGACGAATACGACATGATACTTGAGGTTTTTGTGTCCATAAATATCGATGAAATAGATCTTGTTTAATTCGTTCAAGTTCAGCAGTTTTTTCTGTTGTTTTATTATGATGATGATGATGATGATGATGATTTCGTTGTTGAGATTGAGAACGAGAACGTGGAAGATTAAATACATGACGAAAATATTCTGGTCCAAACATAACAAGATCAGATAAACGATAATCTTTTTGACGATCACGATAAGACATATGTGTTTTACCTGATGGAATAACATTATAAAGAAATGTTGGTAATGATAATGATGTTATATCATGTTCTAATATTGGAGATATAGATTCTTTATGTATAATAGATGGATGTTCAGAACGTATATCAGATTCAATAATATTTGTTAGTGATATTGGTTCAATATTTGATTGTTGATCAATTGTTTCTTCAGAAATATTATCTTCAAAAGACAATTTTTGTTGAACATGTTGATGACGCATACGTACAGCTGTTGTTGCTGCAAGAGCCGTTGCCGGCAAGGTTAAATTATTTGGTAAAGTAGTACGTATACCATTAATCTGTGGCAAAGAATTATATTGATTAATAGAATTTCGTTGACGACTTGATCTAGCTGATTGACGTGCATTAGCAGTTTGTTCTCTTAATGAAAGAATAGTATTTCGATTACTACCAGGTGGTATTTGTATAGCGTTTCCAAATTTAGGTACATAAACTGAATTTTTATCACCGGGAAATTCCAAAATACAATCTTCAACACAATCTTCTAATGCTGATTTAAATACGTTTGAACATTTTCCATTAAAAACTAAGATTTTTATTGGTGTTTGATCATTTATTTGTTGATTTATTGATGTAGGTAAATCATTAACATCAATAATTGATGATTGTCGTTTGGCAAAACTATTAGATCGTGATTGTACATTAGTTCTGGGCATATCAGAGCTTGTTGAACTCGATGGACGTGTTGTCGAACTTGATTGATTGTCAGATAAAGCTGAAAATAAAAACGTCCAAGTCAATGAAATAAATATTCAGTATTCTATTTTTTTTTTTCTTTTTGTTTTTTAATAAATGATGACAGATCGTTTCTAGAAATTGATTGATCGGTAAAGATTTTTGTTGTTTTTTGCAAAAATACAAAAGGAATTTTTGATTGATTAAATGATTTCAAAAGAATGTTTTTTACTATTAAATTCAATGCATATATTTGATACAAACCTTCATTTTCATTAGTTTCTTGATCCATCATACTCGTTTGCCAAATGGTGTGTATATGCTGTTGATTCGCTATTTCTTTTTGTAATAAAAAAAAAAAATAGTATGTGAAATCAACAATAAAGAAAAGACTCATATATATATATATATATATAATATTGTTATAAGACGTAGGCGACTTCCATTATTTACAAATTGAAGCCAAAGTAGTACGCATGTAGCATGTGAAAATATGAAGAAAGACAGTCTTCATGTTTTTTTTTCTCTATTTGATTTTTGATGAATATATATTTGTTTGAAAAGTACTAAAATTTATTATTAGAATTATTTATTTTTAAACTTCTAGGTCTTTTTTTTTCTTTTTTAGTAAATTAGTGCATGTATTAATAGAAAAAAAAAATTCAAATCAAGCCGGATTATTTAAGGTCCGAATAATACTTTATCAACATCAGAGGTGACAAGTATTGAATAAATTATTAAATTTGAAGTCACTAACATAGGCAACTAGAACTGCTAAGTATTCAAACGACAAGATGATTGATTGAATAATAACTTGATTGTCATCATATTATCTTAATGTTCACCTGTCAAAAAATTTCATTTAATTTTTCTTCTTGAAAGAAGAAAGAAAAAAAGAAAAATCTTAAATTCAGACAACAATTACATTGATTCTTTATTTATAGGTTCTTCTAGTTTTTTTTTTTCTTCATATTAAAGGCGTGAAAAAAAAACAACTTCTAAAAACAACAATGTTTGTTTTTTTTTATTTGTGTATCATTTAAAGTTGAAATTTCATTCCATGATGTTAAATAATGCATGGAAAAAAAATCATTTTGAATCCAAAATAATTTATTTATTGCTGCAAACATTGCATATTTATTTTTATTATCAAGATTTTCCATTGTCCATAAAGCATCTATAAGTAAATGTTCAAGAAAACCAAATAATGCACTAATATGTATATAATCAATATTAATTGATGCTGAACCAGCTTTATTTGTATGCATTTTTCCAATACGAGATAAATATTGAAGAAATATTTCATTCCATTCTGTTTGTGTTAATATACGTTTTAAATACATACTTAACATATCTTTTCGAAATTTCATTTGTGCTGAATCAACTGTTAAATTTGTACTTTTTTTTGTTAAATGACCTTCAAAACCATCATTACGTATAAGAAAATATTGTTTTGTTATATCAAATGAAAGTAATTTTCTATAAACAGTATCAACAATAACTGGAACACGTGGTAGAATGATTACTGCGAATTTATTAAGCATTGCTATATCATCCGAAGTAAAGTTAAGAAACTTTGATAAATAATCAAAACGACAACGAAGATTGCTGTTAATTTGATTGCTGTCAATGTGTTCAGTCATGCTGATAGAAAGAAAGTATATTGTGTCTTGCGTTCAGATATATATATATATATGTTCCTCTTGCTTTCGAGAGTTCTCTCTATGACGGAAACAATCTTTCTTATTTACTACTAAACTTAGAGAGAAAAAAAGAATAGAAAGCATAATCTTGTTATTCTGTGCAGAATTCTGTGCTTCATTTTCATCAAAGTCACAAGCTATGTAGTACTCTGAGTGTCCGCATGAGAAATGTTAACCCTGTATTCATGCAATGAATTGCGTAGATCTTTTTTTTTTTAAGTAGAAAATAACGATATATCAGAATTGTTTGATTTAATTAAAGAAAACAAAAAAAAAAAAAGCAAAAATCCATTACGTCTATTTTTACTTAGAAATATTAATTGTTTAGCTGTTCGCGATTGTCAAAATGACGATTCAATGTCCAGAAATCGATACAATAAACAAGGAGAAAAACATTATCAGTGGACTTCTTTTAATTAGATGAATATTTTTTTTTTCAAAAATAACCTGTTTAATGAAAATATTAAATGAATTCAATATCAGATTCAAATGTTTTGTGTTATGTTTTAATACAATAAACATATTGACACCAATCAATACAACAGATTTTATTTTCATGGCAACACACAATGATGTAAATCAGTTGTCTTCTGAACACGATAACACATTATCTCATGACAATGTCTCTAGTCACAGGATATATGATGAATATAAGAACCGACAATAAAAAAAAAAAATTGAACCCTATTTTTTTTTAGATCTTTTATTCAATGATAATAAAATTATCTTCTATGAATTTTTATGAAGATTCAATGTGCTTTAGGGAATTCTTTTGTAGACATCAATGACTTCCAATGTATAGACAAAATTAAGTATTGAACTGTAATACTATATGTTCGCTTGACACTAGAAAGTGATTTCTCTTGTGACTGTAGACACTTTTTTCTTTCTCTTTTTTTGTTGTTGTCACTCATGGCTATATTCATCACAAGAAAATTTTTTACAGTAAACAACACAATCAGTATGATATTTATTAAAAAGCAGTAATTAAATATTACCTACATTTTAAATGATATGGATGTCTTTTAAATTCTTATTGTGAAAGAATATTTTACCTGTTAGCATTAATATTCTAGACAGTGCTTTCAAAGTCATGTCAGTAATAAATAAAAAAAAACTGTGTTGTATTAATACATACAGAAATTGAAATTATTTTTCGTAATAAATAATCTACATTAGTACTGATGAAAATAACTATGTGAAAGTTATTTTATAATAAAAGAAAAGAAAAAAGGTAATCAATTGATTATATAATACAAAGCTTTGTTTTTTATGTTAAAATCATTATTCAAAAGTTACTTTACCGGAAGAACAAAAGAAACTAAAAAAATCTCCGCTATATTTTAACAAAATGGACTAAGGTTTTTCTTTCCCCCCTATGACAAAATAGTATTCAAGGTTTTATTCATAAAAGGAGTATTGACGAACACTATTTTGAAGTATCATCGTTAACTTCAATAAAAGAAAAATATGTAACCTTTGATGAGTTATAAGAGAAGCAATATAATTGCTTGCTATGATCAAAAATATACAATATATCCATCGTTTTTTTTTTTGATTGATACTTGAGACTATTTTCATTTTTGTCAACAACTTATATTATAGACACATGTCTGATTACTAATTATGGTGTCGAATATTTCAGACATAAATAGTACGTTTTTGTTGAAAACATTACAATATGCTTTTATCATAAATCATGAAGGGTTACATGCTTTTCTTTTGATTAAAGCCCATAATGATACTTTATAATAGTGTTTCCCCAATGTTTCTCTTATGAATATGACTTATTATTATTCATTGATTACTAGGCAAAAGAAAAAACAAGTTTATTTGCTTAAAATACAACGGAAATTTTCAGTTTTTTCCGTTGGTAAAGTGAGTTTAGAGTTATTCTGTACTTTTCATAGCATATACTGAAGAAAATATGTAAATGAAAAATGTTTGTCAAAATCAAATTTTCACTGGTATCTATTTATATATTGCATATAAAAATCTTGACATTGATTTGTCGATAAAGTTTATCATCTAACGTTTAATATTCATTTTAGTATATGAATTAATTATTATTCATTCGAATTTTCACTATAAATTCAATTCTTTTTCTAAAATCAATTCTAGTTAAGAACACATTAGTTTTAATTCCAAGATTAACAATAACTTGGATATTATATTATGAATTCTTATTTAAACATGAATGAGAACAAATTCTATGAAAATGTCTTTTGTTTTTTTTTCTTATTCTTGTCTATATTCTTTTATTTTGAGTACAAGTCATTGCACAAATGTTCTTTCTACTTTTTTTTTTTGGGAATTGAAACTTTCCTATGAATGTAGTTCGTGTCACAGAGTCTATTCTGAATTTTTCGAATTTTTTTCTCGTATGATTAGAGAAATATTCACTAATGACTCTAGTCATTTGAAAGAATCGACATTTTTACATATGTCTATGTCATGAAGAACTTATTCAAAACAATATTTCATATGAAAAATTAAACTCAACTGAACGGCAAGCATATCACAGTTTTGCTTAAAATGATTTATCTTTTGATAGAATTGATGCCTTGATGTTGTATAAGACTGTTTCATTGTGTCTATTCTGTAATTGAATAACAAAACAAAAAAAGAAAGCCAAAAAGATCAATGATATATTTTGAAGACATCAAAAATAACTATACAAATTGACATATATATTTAGCTTGTAATAAAACTAATATCTGCTCCAAAATTAGAGAAAGTGTTGTATAAACTCAATAACTCAACAACAATAATAGCTAGCAGCATTCAGTTTTCAGCTCTTGAAAGAAGACAATTCCGAAAACATTTTTTTTTTCCTGGTAATATATAACATAAAATTATAATTAAAAAGAAAAAAAACTTATCATAAAACATACATATAAATAGTATTCAATTTCAAATAAATATTTTATAAAAACCAGTAGAATTTGTTTGAATATATCTTTGTGACTTTGTTCGTTCAGTATTGAGATGTTAAAAAAAAATATATATATATTTAATTCGTATCTTAAACTATAGATCTACAAGTCTTCAATGTGCGAAACATATCAAAAACAAAACATAAGTTTCATAGAAAATTTGTGAATATTTTGCAAAGATAAAAGGTTTCAAAATAATTTTGTTTTATACAATATTAAATTATTCTATAATTCTGATATGAACATTAGTATCATTTAAAAATAAAATTTTAAAGAAATCAAATATTTATTCTAATAATTATTTTATTTTAACTCATATGATAAAAGTTCATCATCTTAGTTATCCAATTCAAAAGAATGATTACAAATCTTTGTATTCAATTAAATAAAGTACTTGAAAATAATATACAATATGTCCTTGTTTTAACATTTTTATTTTTATAAACTCTGCAAACTAGATGATAATCAATCTTTGCTATTTCATTTCATGCATAAAAAGTATTTGAGAGGAAACGATATAAAATTAATACTTATCAATTAATTCTCTTTCTCAAATTCTAACTTTTAATAATAGAATCTCTGTAATTGCTATAAGAAAAAAAATGTAGAACAATTTTTTACGCTATCTTGCTATATCTAATTTAAGCTAATGCAAATGCTTCGTTGGTTACTTTTTTTTTTCGAATAATTTGAACCTTATTATTTTTCAACACTCATATATTAACCATAATTCTTTTGATCATTGTTATAGTTGAATTCATAGAGTTTTTTAATAGTTGATTGTGCAATATGATCATACATGAATAATCATAACTGTGAGGTTCAATAGATCATGAAGTACGAATTTGATTAAATCTATTCTGAAGACTATTATCAACAAATGTTATATTAAATTTAGTATAAACTAAAGATAGAATCATTTCTATTGATATCCATCCTTCGATCTTATATTACATTTACACAAAAGTTTCAGTTACAATCAAATTCAAATGCATTGCTTGTGTAGAAAAAAAAAACGAATATTTAATGCTCATTTACCCAAATGACAAAAGATGTCAGAAAAAAATTTGTTTTCTATTTATTAGTATATATATATATCAAGAATTAATGAAAATGAAATCAATTTTAAAGTCATTATAATTCATTATTATCTTATTATTATTGAAAATAAAACATAATTATTATTAAATATGTCAATAACTCGAAAAAAAAAAGAAATAATTAACAAATTTTTCACATTTAGATTCAATGAATTTATAAAACATATTCATCCTGTTATTAAAGTGTAAAATTGATCAAGATCATAAATTTTTTTGATACAGACTGAAAACTAATCGTTTAAAAACCTTGATATTTTGATATTATTTGCATTAGAATTAATTAATACTAAGCTGTTAGTATTATTGTTAATTCTTATGCATACATTATCAATAACAATATCTGAGGTTCTATAATATCAGAAGTTTTTTCAGTCGAACAATTTTCTTCTATTTTTGGAATGGCACTTTTAAGTATAAAAAACCTTCGTTCTATTTTTCGGAATGATATATCCGATTATAAAATGTCATTATATTCTTTAGTAATGGAACTTCTAGGTATTAAAAAAGCCTTTCTTCGTTTTGGGAATGCCTCTTCCGATAATAAAAACTTTTTTGCCCTGTTAGCGGAAGTTTCCGAATTTGAATTCTTAGGGGTATAGTCACAGGTAGCATTTTATTAGAATAAAAAATAAAGTATTACGGTAAATTTTAATAGTTATTCTTCAAGCATTAGTATTATTCAAATATTAATGCTGATCTAGTAACTCTAGGCAAAAATGAATGAAATAGTTGAACAAAATTAGAGTCAAACAGATTCATTTGTTTACGATTATTTTTTATGTACATATTTGCAAGTTGCTATCGTGAATTACATCACATACAAGATAGTGAAAAAGAAAAAGTTTGACTACAACGTATTTTTCATTTTCTAAGACGATTTTATGGATGAACAATGACGACACCGTTTCTATAAAAAAGCCGGATACGATAGTTTCTAGGTCCCAGAAGACTTCGCCCGAAACATATTAAAGAGTAGAAAGTTCTGTTTAACATGAGAGATCACCATACTTTCAACGACTTTTACCTTGAGAAGTTAAAATTATCACAAAAAAAAACAGATTTATCAAAAACTCGACTAAAAAAAAAAGCACTTTTTCGGTTTTTATAATACAAATAACTTTTTACATGAAAAATTCGAAAGAACATTGATTAATTTTATTTTTTTTTTTTTAATTTAAAATAAAATATTGAATATTTCGATCTTCTCTAATCTTGAACATCAGTCATCATTAGCATCTTGTTGAATAACATATCAATCATCTAAGAAAACCACTGCTATAATAATAATAATAACATCGTCAATCATTGTTTTAAAACTTCTCACATCTGAAAAATCGATCTTAGGTCAGACATATACATTGAACTATATTTCCCTGCATATAATTTCGATAAAAAAAATTTGCTTTTTTAAGAAAAGATCAAAGGATCTTAAAAACAATACGAAATAAAAGAAAATTTCATTATTCTTCAGTGATCAAATTTCTAATTCTACATAGCAACATCTTATCTAGGATCGGATCTACAATCTAAATGTTGTATAGATAAAAAAAAAAGTATTTTAAATGCTATTTTTATTTAAAAGTTTTATTAGAGAGTGTAAAAACATCGAATAAAACAGAAAGTTATAGATTGCACACTTTGTTTTTAATCCTATTTCACCGATTTTCCTTTACTGACATCGAGCAGTGAAATCATCGTCTGTTTAGCGGTGAGAGACAGTTGTTGAACAGATTTTAACTTGAATTAGATCACAAAATTTAACCTATATTGAACATAGCAGTATACGATATTTGTATATAATCAATTATTTATGATTAAATGTCTGATCCATATGAATATTGAATTCAAGAACATCGATTCTCAACACTGTGTCATTCATATCTAGCAACATTATCGATTGTGAATTGTGTTTGGTTAAATTAACGAAAGATGTTCTAAAAATTGTTGTTATATTTTCATACATATGTTTGAAAAGAAGAGAATGTTGCTATTGAAATAAAACTATTTCAAGAAAATTTTGAACGCTTGTTGGTATATTCTATTCTATAGTATATTGCGTAATAAATCTTTCTAAGAAGATAAAAAAATGAATTATTCTTTATAAGGTAGCAGACCGAAAATATTTTAAACTTTTTTGTTTTGTGTATAGAAGCATTTAAGAGTAGTTTGAAAAAAAAAAAAGCTTATTAAACTGCTTTACATCAACATTGACCGTTTCTTTTTTTTTTCAGAAAAATCGTCTCATTGGTCGATAATTCAAATGGTTAAGAATAAGTTTCTAACAAATTTAGACATCGATAATGGATTTAGTGAATTTTTAATCATAATTATTGATGATTTCTATTATTAGATATGAAATTTTCTTGAATGGATCTTTTTTCTCATTTTATTAGCATAGTATACATCGTCTGATGCATTTATCAATGCCGTCGCATGCAAAAAATCAATTACTTTTAATCTAAAATCATCATTTTCCTATCACTCATACGATACATTTGAAGATGCCAACACATCATCCATAGATTACAATTTCTTAGTTGGTTAGTATTCCCTTGTTTAATTATTGATTCATTGTGAAATGTTTTTTGACGATAGTAAGTTATTAAGCCAAACATTCGATATTTGTAGTATTAGTAAAACAAGACGATACATCTAGAGAAAATCATAACGTCTAGACAATAGACATATTAAAAATTCAATGGCGTAGTCGAACATCACTAGAACTCAAATGCTTTTAGAACTTTTATTAGAATACGATGTAGTATCAATAGCGAGAAAAATCATTGAAATCTGAAGGAAGTAGCTCAAGAAATTTCCTCATTAGTAATTTTATATGATCATATTATCTAAAACAATTAATAACTACAGAAGATAATCATAACCAATTAGAAAAGTATAATCTATAGAAAATGTACTATATGTGCTCGATCGATATTTTGCTAACGAAATATCTAATAAGTCAATTATAGACAATTTTTGAAGTTCTATATGTAATAATAAAAACTATTATTGTTATGATTAAAAAAAAGACTATTAAGTCAAAATTCTCTCATTTCGAAAAGAGAAAAATCATTATAATTAAATATTTCATCAGTATTTTGCATAATTATCTTGAGAAAAGTAATCGAATCGAGTTGAAAATTCTCGTAATTACTAAAGTCATTATTTTCTAGAGCACAGATACTTACATTAGTCTTAAATACTAGTAATTTTTTTTGAATTCTTATCATTCAAAGATAGTTATCAATTTATGTAAGTATATATTTGTACTTATTAGTCTATTTAGAAAATCATGTTTATAGATTTAATTTCGTAAATATTTATTTTCATGTCTTTTATAGTGATTGTTAGAAGAAATTTTTGTTTATCAAAATAATGTCGATTGTTTTTATAAAGTAATCATTTTCAAAACAAACAGTAGAATTTTATTTACTAATCATTTCGTTTTAAAAACTTCTTGTTGAATTTATAATCTTATTTCATAAAATGTTAGAAAGTTTATTCAGATAATTATAGAAGATTGTGACAATGTACTATAAAATGGAGACACTTTTTAAGTATATTTATTAGAGTTCTGCGGAACAATATAAAAAAAGTCAATGTTCCTAATTTGCTTAATCCTTATCTTAAAACATGTTGTATACTAAATTTTTTTTTTTTTATTTCTAACAAATATCATAATGTTTAAAGGAAAAAGAAAACACACAAACAAATTAGACTGTCATTCGACCAAAGTCCGAGTAAGAAAAAAAAAAGTGACTAACTGCTCAAGTTCTTAAAGTATGAAAACGTAATCCAATACATGACATCTGCTTTTTTTCTGATCTTAAGCTTCCGTAGAGGAAATTACAATGAACTTTAGTATTCTATTTTAGTTCAAGATTATGAATCTGAACTAATTGTTATCATATAAGAACATTATTGCATATCACATGTAAAATATAAATGATCTTTTTTAGATTGAATCATATATATATGACTATATCAGAAAACTCTCAGATCGTTTTCTATCTTCGAATGGAATCAAGTTTTTAAAAAGTAGATTTCAACATGTGTGACTTAAATCATGATTAATTCATCGAAAAGAAATATTTATCATAGCGACAAAGCAAATGAAAAGCAATAAATGAGCTATTGTACTTTCTGAAGACAATCATCTTGCAATCAATGGAAATTTTCTATGATTAAAAACGAGTTTGTTTCACATGACTCCAATGTTCACATATATAGTGAGATAATTGAAGTGCTCCCATGGTCACAGACAAGGATAGACACATCCGAATGTCATAATAGTTGTTGTGACTAAAGCTCTCCTTGACTAATGGAATAATCCATTATGTTTCACGTTTTAACCGCATAAGAATTACACTAAAAATTCTCTTACTACTCCCGATCAATATAGACAATTCAAGGAATTTGGCTTAATTATGTTTTTTATTAAATGAAATAAGTTTCATCTGAAGATGAATGGAGAAAAAACAAAGTTCATTGTTCTTTTCTTAATTTAAAAGAAGTTTGTAGAAGAATTCTTTTTAATTATCTTAAAAATATCATTATTAAATATTATAATAATTTATTTATTAAAGGTAAAACTTATTATAAAGTACTCAAATATTATACTGATAATACTCAACATGATAAGTTAGTTATGTTAGTGTCAAATAAGAACATATATATATATATATTGACAATAGGTTTTAATTAATCCGAGTAAAATTTGCAATTTTTATTAGTCAATAGAAAATGTCACAACGATTATTCATGTTTGATTTATCATAACTAAGAATGAATCAAAAAAAAAAACCTAAATGTTAATTTTTTTGTCTTTTCAAAAATCATTTACTAACTTATTTTTATGAAAAAAAGTAATAATAATATTAAAAATATCTATCAACAATTTATACAATAGATAATATAGAATATTTATTCATTATTGAAATTGAATATTTTATTTGTTTGATTATACTTGTGTATTGTTTATTGATATTGAAGAATTTTTCTTTGTTGTGTTAAGAACTCTTGTTACTATTTTTCTATTGTACTTATAGTAGTTTCTTAGTAAACGGAAAGAGATCTTATTCTTATTTAGTATCCAGCAGTGTCTTTTTTCCAGGTCCTTGTGCCCTAACAGCACTAAGATTATATTCATTGAAAAAAAAAAAAGCTATGTCTAATGTCTCCATTAACTTTTATAATTAGATTACATTGTCTTGAAAAATTTTTCTTTTCTCTTTTTATACATTGATATATTGTCAAAAATAATTGTGTTCAATGAACAATAGACTTTCGTCTTATTATTTTGTGACTATGTTAATAAAAATGATAAATATTGCATAAAAAGAAAAAAGATTATTATCTTTTTATTTACTTTTTTTGTTATTGTTTTATTTGAGAAAAACGAAGGGAACTAATAACATAGTGCATATATATATATATATATGTATATATACGTATTTATATATTAAAATTAATCATCAAAGTTTTAATATTAATTAAATAACCAACAACGTTTTGGTTTGATTTTTGTTGTATCAATAGATAATGATTTGTCTTTTGTTGACATTCCATAATGCATTGTAAAAATATCATTTTGAATCCAAAATAATTTATTAATTGCCATAATCATATCATGTTTTGTTTTATCATCAAGATTTTCAATAGTCCATAAAGTATCGACTAATAAATGTTCTATATAACCAAATAAAACATTGATATGCATATAATCAACATTAATTGCTCTTGCACCAGTTTTACTTGCATGTATTTGACCAACTTGTGATAAATATTGAAGAAATGCATCATTCCATTCCGTTTGTGTTAATATACGTTTTAAATACATACTTAACATATCTTTTCTAAGTGTCATTTGTGCTGAATCTATTGTTAAATTATTATCTTTTATAGCAGCAATATTTTCAAAACCTTGATTACGTAAAATAAAATGTTGTTTTGTTATATCATATGAAAATAATTTTCTATAAACATTATCAACAAGAACAGGAATACTTGGAAATATAATTGATGCTAATGTATTAAGTAATTTTATATCATTTTGTTTAAAATTAAGAAATTTTGATATATAATCAAAACGATAACGAAGATCATTATGAATTCGATTATTATCGATGTGTTCCGTCATGACGATGCAATATATGCAAACATTGTCATATCATTTGTTTTTTATTTCTCTTTTTTCTCTGTTCTATTTTTTTTTTCTTTTCATAGATTATAAAACTTTTCTCTAGTTAGCAATCATAATGCCATTCGTCGCCTAGACATTGTGTTTTTTATCTTTGTAACATGTGCTAATAAGAAAATGTCAAATATGTTAGCCTTTTGTTTCGATTATGGTACTAGAGAAAAGCTATAGAAATACTTTATTTATAAGAAATAGTCTAAGAAACTATTTATCTGAAAAGACAAAAAAATGACTTATTTATGATGTTATTGATAGAGAGAACGATAGTTATTTTCAAAGAAAGTCTTTAATTCAATATAAACGTATGGATTAATTTTCATTTAGATATTTATATATATAATGAAAAGTGAATTTCGTTTTCTTGTATCTTTCTAAAAATAAAATAACCTTTAGACATGATATATCATCCTATTTCTATACATCAAAATTTAATCTTTTTGTTTTTTTTTCTTCTTCGCATGACATTATGATTAATTGTAGTTTTGTTTATTCAAATAAAAAAAAAA